GTTCCTCATATTGAACCTAAACTACATTAGTAAAGTACATTCATATTTTATGTCAGTAAACAGTATTACAGATGTAATGATAACACACAGGCTTCTTGGACTTTTATTGCACACCTATGAGACTAAAAGCATTAAAATCAGAGAGGTGTTGTGGTGCTTTGGCTCCAGTCGTGAAGGGCTGCTGTTGCCACCAGATGTCACTGTGCTGCTGCATTTGAAGCCCCAAAGCTCCAGACGGCTTCATCCACCTCTCACTAGTTCTGACTTCACTAAGAACGAGTGATATGTATTGGAGCAAGAGCATCCATTACTAATGATCTTAAAACAATCTATTTGTGACAAACTGGTGAAAATACAGCCTCTCTTTTTATCACTCTCAAAGACACAGCCTCCCTCAACAAATTCTAGTTTCCCCTTCAACCATCGTCCCTGTATGCTACTTCCAACAACAACAACAACAAAAATCAGTTATAAATTCTTAAAAAAAGTATTAAAATAAAAATGATTATTCATTTGTATGATGAATTGTGGAAGAATTCAACAGCCTCACTGAATCAGGGAAGAAGCTGCTCTGCAGTCTGGTGGTCCAGCAGCAGAAGCTTCTGTACCTCTTCCCAGATGGCAGCCGGGTGTGTCTGGGGTGGGTGCTGTCTTTTAGTATCCTTTGGACTCTGTGCAGGCATCTCACCTCAGCAGTATCACTGATGCTGGGCAGCTGAGTACCAATGATCTTCTGGGTGGTTTTAATCAACCGCTGCAGTGTCCTCCTGTTCTGGGCCGTGTACATCCCAGAATACTGTCTATCGCTCCTCTGTGCCTCCTTGGTGTTGCTGACATTGAGCAGTAGACTGTTTTCTCTGCACTACAATAATGGTGGTATAATCTACAAATTTCACAACAGAGTTGTCTCCATGTCGGTGGATGCAGCATGAACAGGGAGGAGGCTGAGCACAAAACCCTGAGGGGCTCCGGTGTTGAGCAGTAGAGAATGGCATCAGGGCATCAGTGTGGAAGAACTGGGGACTTTATTGTAAAGTGAAACATCAGACTTGACATTTTAGGCCTAAGGACTATGGACATTTACCCCCTGGTAAAGCTGTGCATTATGGCCAGTGGTGTCATGCTCTTTCAGGCTGGTGGGACATGAGCCTCAGCAGAAGTTTATGTCTGGATTAAAAAAAACTGACACTAAAAGAAAAAAAACTTTTACAAATTAGAAACAAGTACTCTCTAGAAAATAAAAAGGTTTTGATGCCGCAGTAACATCACTGGAGTCCTCTTTAATCTTTAATCTAAAAAAGACAGTAGTTTACAATGGAGTTTAATGCAGACAGAGGATTCATTAGTGTGTTTCCAAAGTGGAAACATCAAACAGAAATCCATCATGTGACAACTAAAGTGCTGAGCATGACTGTGTCTCTCTCTACATTAATGCTTCTGTCAGCTCTGACTGACACTTAAAAAAGACTTTTATAAATTAGAAACAAGTACTCTCTAGAAAATAAAAGGTTTTGATGCCGCAGTAACATCACTGGAGTCCTCTATTAATCTTCACTCTTTTAATCTGTCAAATCAAATTAAACAATGAAAAGTTAAAAAACTATTAGAAACTTATTAGAGTTCATATTGGACATTATTCATTTTAATTTAAGTGAAGTCATTCATCTGTTTCTGGCAGCACTGAAATTTGACCATCTTATGGTACTTTATATTTGACTTGTGACTTGAAATGAATACAATATGTGTGTATAGTACCAGATTTTTTCTTCTTTAACACTCCCAACCTAGGGTTCCCGGCCCCCACTAGGGGTCACCAAAGCTTCAC